ATCATGTTACATATTCAGCTAAGCTGAATGACTATATGAGCAACTTTGTCTATTTTATTATAAAAGATAGATATCTTTAATTCACTAAACTTATAAATAATTAAATTTGTGGGTGGACTTCAATAGTCACGGAAAGGTAATCACTATTTGAGCTTCACAAATCCCGCTATGAGCCACCAATATGAGTATTTAATTCATTTAATCACAATTGAAGTGGCTTTCTTTACACCTATTACTATACCCTATACTTGTAAACTATGCCTGAGTATTTCACTGTTTTCAGAGCATAATCTAATTTCAAGTGTCAGACTCTAAGGGGAATATTGTGTAAAACACATAACTTATGTTACTGCCTGTTTCAACTAGCTTTCCAACACAAATGTAATGTAGACACTCTGATGAGCAATTTGGCTATTACAGTCAAGAATAGACCTCTCTGTGGATTTTCTAAAAGCTCTCAAACCCATTTGGTTCCACTAGTAAAACAATGTACATTACAGAAGAGGTAATATTAAACAGGGACCATGAGAATGACTTGATCTTATGGCTATTTCCTGGCTGTAAGGCCACAGAAAGCATCATTCTCATTTCAATTGAAGTTATGAGAGGACTATTGAAAAGTCACCGGAGAAAAATTTACAGGTTGGATGTACTCAATATTAAACACTTTCAGAATATGTGGTATCTGAATAGCAATAGCAATGGGGTAGACCTGACAGTATAGTGTCTAAAGGATTAACAAAACGCAATGGACTAGACCCTGCTGGAAGTGATATAGAGGGACCAGAGTAGCAAGTGTCCAGGAATAATTATGATTCAGCCAGCACCTCTCCTTGAGGCTGCCAGGCATTGCACATCATCTTCAGAGGAAACACTGCTCCCCCCACGCAGCCAGCTCTTCCAGCCAATGGGGAGGGAAAAGCCTCAGCTTCATTCTGTCTCCTTCCAGTTAGCTAGCGGGACCTGAGTTCCCAGTCGCATTGTGGCTATCTACCTTCTTTAGGTCAGTAGCTCTCAATCTCTTTAGACTACTATACCTCTTGTGCTCACCTAAGTTTCACTTGCTTACAAAATCAGACATAAAAATATAAATGTTTCACAGAACTCTATTACTGAAAAATTGCTTCTTTTCTGATTGTTAACCATATAATTATAAAGTAAATCGATTGAAATTTAGGGTATGTCTACACAGCAAAATTATTTCAAAATAACTGTACTAGTGTCTACACAAGCCAACCACTATTTCAAAATTGATTCGAAATAGCAGAGGGTTTATTTTGAACTTGGTAAACCTCATTCCACAAGGAATAGCGCCTATTTCGAAATTGCTATTTCGAAACAAGCACTGTGTGGGGTTATTTCGAAATAGGGGGCCTCCAGACCTTTCCAGGGTACCCTGCTGACCACTCTGGCCCCAATTTGGAAAACTCCTCTCCCTCCTCCCCTCACCAGAGCCCTTAAAGCGGTAGAGTCTGGCCACAATGTCTGTGCTAGCTCCAGGCCTGCCAGCCCAGAGCCAGTATTCTCTGCCCCTACGAGCCCCCAGCATGAACCAGGTAGCCAATGCCAGCCAGCCCTCCACTGCTCCCCGGGCCCAGTCCCCCAGCTCCCAAGAGCCTGCCAGGGGCTGGAGAAGGCAGGCACCTTCCTGGTCCAGTGCGGACATCATGGACCTGATTGAGGTTTGGGGGGGATGCCTCTAACGTCCATGATCTCCGCACTAGACGGAGGAACGTGGCCATCTACGGCAGGATGGCTGCCAGCCTGGCCACCAAAGGCCACATCTGAACCCAGGAGCAGGTTTGGATTAAAATTAAGGAGCTGCAGCAGGCCTATGCCAGGGGCACAGGGGGCAGCTCCCAAACAGGGGCAGATCCAGAGAGCTGCCCCTGTTTTGATTCCCTGGACAGCATCCTGGAGGGGGGGGGGACGGTCTGTGCCCCCAGGTAGTCATCGACCCTGGGGCAGAGGGCCCTGACCAGGGCACAGGGGAGGACGAGGAGGTGGGCCAGGAGCCAAAGGAGCCTGGAGGGAGTGGGCCACGCAGCCAGGACTCCTGAGCCATCCCAGCGGACCTGTCACCAGTGTCATCCGGGGAGGCAACATGTCAGTGCCATGGAGGGAGACCAGGGACCGCACGAGTGGGCCTTGCTGACCACAGATCATGCAGCAACCTATGCACGTGCGAGCACATGCCGTGCCACCTCTGGACACGTGGCCCCAGCTGGCTGCCACACAGGGGCCTTGGCCTGTTAGCCACATGCATGTGTGAAGAAACATGACATGCTCCTGACCCCAGGGTGGGACACAGCAGGATGCCCTCCCTCCATAAGCCCCCTCTACACAGAGGCAGGGGACAACTCCCCCCTCCCACACTCCCTTCCCCCCACACACTATATACAGTACGGGGGCATGGGTGCAGTCCTGGGGCAGCTCCCACTCCTGGGGATAGCAGGACATCCCGAACATGGCCTCTGTGCAAGCACATCAGCTCTGATGGTGCAGAGAACTGTCGTCCTTGCCTTGCAGAGTGGGGCTGGGCTTCACCCATTGTGTCCTCAGGATAATTGACAACTTCTCTTGTTTCTCCACAGCTTCAAGTGCAGGGCGCACCACACCACCCGGGACATCCTCCCGCACCAGAGGATTCTGCAGGCTCACCATGCAGTGGAGGGGTACTAGCAGGAGCACCTGAGGGCACTGTGAGCCCTGCACTGCACCCTGGACCACTGGGTGCAAGAAGACCTGCAGCTCCGGCGGGAGCAGCTTGCCTAGGGCCATGCCATCTGCGAGCACCTGCAGATCCTGGTTCAGAGCTTGTTGCCTCCTGCGGCTCCAGCCCCTGCTGCCTCCCCAACTACCGCTCCTCCTTCCACTCCTTCTCCTCCTCCTGCTTCTCCCTCCACATCCTCCTCACCCTCCGGGACGCTGAGCCCCCCATATCCACGGTGCTGGGAGAGAGTTGGGCCAGCGAGACCCCCAACACTGAGCTTCTCCTGCCCCTTCTTCCTCTTGCCTCCCCCTGCCAGCTCCCTCCTCCCAGGTTTCTCCCTCCCCTCTCCCACCCTCCCTTCTCTGCTCTCCACCTTCTTTACCCACCTCAGTTTCATTCCCCCCACCCCAGTTTTGTTCAATAAAGAGACTTTGTTGTAATGAACACGTGTCTTTTATTGTACAGCAACATGTATTTTATTTTACATCAGGAATGGGAGTTAGGGAGGGGTAAGTGGAAGGAAGTGAGGGAGGAATGAGGCACAAGCCCCCAGTAGGTAAAACCAGAGAGACTGTTACTACTTGCAGAACGTGCTGCCAGGCTCGCAGCAACACGTCCAGGAGAAGCACCAGAGTGCCCGGGGTGGCTCCGGCTCCATGCTGCAGAGTGCTGTGATGTCCTGAGTGAGGGCAACCAGAGCACGCAGAAAAAAAATGCTTTGCTGTCCCTCAGCAAGGTAGGCAAGCAAGCAGGGAAACCTGAGAACTGGCTGTGCGGGGGAGGGGGGGTCCCTTTAAGCACAGGCCTCAGATAGCCTCAGGCAGCAGCCACACACAGTAACGCCTGACCTGATGCCCTGCCAGAACTGGTTCCGGACGGCCTTAAATGTGATTCAGTGTCTGATCAGTGTGGATGTGCTATTTCGAAATAGCAAAACAGTATTTCGAATTGCATTTTGTGTCTATGCGCGTTATTTCAAAATAAAATATTTCGACATAACGCTGTAGTATAGACATAGCCATAAATCTTGGACTTCCATTTCAGTTTTTAGTAGATAGAGCACATGGGCAGTGGATAACAAACAGACTGGTGTGGCCCTGCCGATGCTCCATCCCAAGGTCCACTCCTGTCTGCTTCAATTCCCTTTCTGTTTTGCTGTGATCAAGAGGCTGGGGCAGGCAGGCTGGGGATGCTAGGACTGAGGCCACGGTGCATCACCTGTCTGTCTGCCTGGCACTGAGGGCACTAGATCATGTTGCCTATCCAGCTGCCTGAGGCCAGGAGTGCTCTGGCTGTGCCACCCACCTACCTAATGCTGGGCTTGAGGGGTGCTACAGCCATGCCACCTGCCCATCCAGCACTGGATCTGGGGAAACTCTGGCCTCCCCATCCACCTGTCACTCTGTAGAGCAAGGGGGGGTGCCTCTGGCAGAGGGGGACGAGATAGGGGCTACCCTTCTGCAGAGGTGTCATCAGCTGCTGCCCATGATAGAGCAGTATTAACAGGTCATTGTCTATGTGAAATTTTAGTTTGTACTGACTTGGCTAGTGCTTTTTATGTAACCTGTTGTAAAACTATGCAAATATCTAGAAGAGTTCATGTAATCCCTGGAACTCCTCTATGTAACTTCAGGTCTACCTGTACTCCTGGTTGAGAATCATTGGTTTAGGGGTGTGAGGCTAGGAAAGCATCCTTTCTTGCCCTTCACACAGAGCCAGCCCACAACATTTTGGCACCTGAAGTGGGGAGCTCAAATGACACCCTCCTGCCACCTTTTCTGCTGCCTGCCTGTTATGTCTCTTGTGCCCTTCCTGCAGCACAGCACTCCACCATCTCTGAGCATCTAGAGAGAATACATATGCACCAGCAGCAGACATAATTTTCTACATGGTGGTGCCCCCCGACAGTGGTGCCCCCCGACAGTCTGGCACCTGAGGTGACCACCTCAGTTCGCCTCATGGTAAGGCCAGTCCTGCCTTCACTCTTACAATGTGACAAGCCTCTATATGCCCAGTAGTCTCAACTGCTACTATGTAGCTGCTTTTGGATTAGTTTAAGTTTCGTAAATCAGGTCTACTCCTGCTCCCTGTATTTCTTTACTAAACAGTCTTATAAGGAACCATGTGTTCACGTACACTCTCTCTCTTTTTTCTTTTTTTTTTTTCTTGTTCTTTTACTCTTCATACTTATTTATATATTCTTATTTATTTTATTGTACTTATTTTTTGGCTAGGGTTTTTTTTTTTTAATGACGGAGACACTAGCCCATTATTTCCATTGTGTTGAACCTGCAAAAGAACACGTCTGATATGCTTTACATGAACTGCGAAGGGGCATTTCACTTTTATTGAAGGTGACACAAATTGGGATTTAGTGATTTCACATCTGCTAGTTATTAAAGTTACAAATAATACAAAAAAAAACAAACCTGTTGGTCAGTTTGCCAAGAACAGTCGTGAGCTATTGAAAGTGTTCGGTGTGCCAAAGAAGGGCCCACATCCAGTTTACCTCTTCAAGGACACAAAACCAAATATTCTTTTCCTGGTTTTCAAGTCTCCACAGTACCACTTTCTTGGCTCATGGGGAAATGCCATGTGAATGAGTGGCTTTGAGGGTTTCCTGTTGAAATACTACAAAAACATTAATTCTTTCAGCATTTTGCTGAAACTCAAGAGCGCAAAGGCCTCAGGGAGATTCCTAGACATAGGAAACTAATGCTTCTCTCACTCCACCCACTTACCTTCTATGCTTCAGCACACTCATTCCTGACCTGGTTGGTCTAAATTGCTGAACAATTCTAAAATGATTAAATTAGTGGTAAACCACAATGGTTTACCAGTTTCCACTGGCTGAAGATGATTACTTAAGTGCCTACAATAGTGCCTTTGTAAATCAAAGTTATTTGTGTCCCTTTTTACATTCTAGTTTTCATGTCATAGCATGTTGTATTATATTATAGTGTAATATAATGGGCCCAACCATTCAAGAGTCTGAGCTTCATTAGGTCAGTCAAGTCAGTGAGAACTGAGGATCTTTAGTGCCTCATTAGATTAGACTTCACAACACAGATTTCAGTGATAAAAACCAATAAAGGATTCTATTTAACACAGTGTTTTCTGGGCTTTTAGTATTATGAGATAGCAGCTGCTTCCTCAGAAATATCAAGCAAGCTTCAGTAAAGTCAGGATTAATTGGAAAACTGGTATTTATGATGAGTGGCTAGTTGCAAATGGGTTGAAAAAAGTAGTAGGGTAAATATATAGGTATAACTAATTTTATCCTGTGTAACTAATTATATTTATTTACACAATGATGCTTTATTAAAATAATAGGATACTGGAAAGTACATAGGTGCACAACAACAAAATGTTACTAGTCAAGCCATTCTTCTTGATTGTTGAGTATTTCACTGAAGGAAAAAACTATGCTCATGTGCTTCTAACCCCCGAGATCAACTGAGAAGATACATTTCTATTGTTTCCATTTTTACTGCTTGTCTTTTGCAAGTTATGCACAGGTAAATATTTGGTATAGTGTTGGAATGCAAATATATGATGCAGTATCATTATGCGTACTTTTGGATCTTAGTTTTATTTTGTCCGTTGCATTAAAAAATGTCAGTCTGACCTTCACTTCCTCAAGTCTGAAGTCAGAGCTGCTTATCTTGGTTCCTCTTGCATCAATGAGCCCATATCATTGGTCCCTCTGAAGGTCCTATGCAGATCTGCATGACTCCTAGGGATGGGACTCAATAGCTGAAGGACCATTCTGCTAGTTATTTGATGTGACATTAAGATCATCCATTGTTTGTAAGACGGGAGTAGGGGAGAACACTGTAAATAAATTGTACAAGGTGTTTCACCAGGAAAAGCCCCTCCCCAACTCCAAGTCGTATATGGCTAGAAAAGAGACAGGAATGGAATGATCTGTCAAATTGGGGCATAGGGAAAATGTAATATCCTTACCTATGCCTTCTATAGAGATGAAGAAGGGCTCCTCTTTCTATTTGCAGAACCTTAGTTAATGTATTTGGTGAGTGAGTGGGAGGGGAATTATTTGGTATATCTGAGGCTACATCTAGACTACAAGCCTCTTTTGAAAGAGGCTTTTTAAAAGATACTTTCAAAAAAACCTCTTTCGAAAAAGAGCGTCTAGACTACTACTGGTTCTTTTGAAAAAGCAAGCCGCTTTTCGAAGAGCACTTTCGAAAAAAGGCGTTATTCCTCGTGAAATGAGGTTTTCCGCGGTTGAAAAAACTGCTGCGTTCTTTCAATTTACTTTTGAAAGAATGTGGCATCAGTCTAGACACAGGGGAAGTTTTTCGAAAAAAGGCCACTTTTTTGGAAAAAAAACCTGTAATCTAGACAGACCCTGAGTTGCACTCTCCAGAGGAAAAAGCCAAGTATTTTTTGTTGTGTTGAATTTTGGAATGCATATATGAACTTAACCATATATGCCAATCTAGAACATTTATATCTAAAGGAGACAAATGCTGTGGCTGTGTGGGATGCCCGCACTCACTACGGTTCTCAAGCAGCTGAGGGAACTTTGTTCCAATTCCAAGAGATGAACCCCTGCTTCCCCTGCCTAGTAAAATCAAATGGAGTGGAGAGATGATATTAGTTCTTGCCTCAAAGAGGAAAGGGCACCAGTATCCCTCAAGAAGGAACCCCATCAACACTGACAATCTCACTGCCATCACTGTCTCTAACGTGCCAGTTTGTATTAAAGGCAGTTGATAAGTTGCAGTTGGAACAAATCTGGCTGTGTCCCAAGTCCTTAGCTTTTCTCGGTCACTATCAATCTGGTTTCAGGCCTGAATATAATATGGAAACTAAACTGTTTCACCAGTGGGCATGGTGTTCTGAGCAGTATCCTGATAACAAGGTCCAGGTATTTGAAGTGCTAGCACAAAAGGGATCCAGGCCAAATTGAAGTCTGGCAGTTGGAGCAAACTTGGAAGACACTCTGCAGGGGAAACTATACTATTTTAGGAGGTATCCAAAGATCTGATGGATCCAGGACCCACTTAATGCTGGATCCAGATTGCCCCATATAAGTTTTGTCCAGAGCAAAATATGTGTGTGAGAAGCTTCTCTCTTGGGCCCTTAGCACAAGACATAATCTGGACTTGCTATTGTCAGTTGTGGTAGAAGTGGCTAGGAGTTCTGGGCCCTTGTGCATCACCGGGCCCCAGGGCAGTTGCCCTCTTTGTCCCCTCTTCTCCCATGGGAGGGCCCGAAAGCTTATCAGAACTACACAAATATCTTAGGAGAGCAAAAGTAGGTTGGAGAGGCACCCTCCATTACTTTTTGCACCTTTGTTCCCACCCTAGCTAGACAGGCAGACTGGGGGAAAAATATTTCTTGGAAAATTCCAGGACCACAAAGACATTTCTTTTGAATCTGGTTCTTAGAATGGACATAGATTTGGGAGGGTTTGTGTGGGGGTCATATCTAACCTAAACTAGCATGCCTATCTCTGTGACTCCCATTACATTCAGTTGGATTTGTCCAACTAAAATATCAAGAAACACTGAAAAATGACTCTAAGAACAAATTAAGTTGTTTCTCTTTCCCAGATGTCTGTTTACATACAGTGTGTGACTTTCAAGGTCTTGGTTCAGAAACAAATTCTGATGTTGTTTTGCTGGGCAATATAGTCTCTGATTGGAAAGCCTAGGAAGGAGAGAACTCTGTAGTCTGACAGCTGTGAGACTGCTGTGTCAGCCAGGAGAATTGAATTTCAGAACAGTAGAAAAACATAGTCTGAAAGTCTTGGTGCTTCAGATGGTTGAAGGCTGTTTACAGTATCACATGACAAAGACATGGGCTAATCTGTCTCTGAAGGAGGTTGGGGAATACTTCAGCATATCCTATTAACTGATTGTGACGGGGCAGGAACCAGATACCCCAGGGAAGCGGGCCCACCCCGCACTGACCCCGCAATCGCCCTGTCGCTAATGGGGGCAGCGCGGGGCTCGTTAGCGGCCTGCGCGCAGTGTAGCGCGGCGGCGGCTCAGCTGGGCGGCAGGGCAGAGGGAGCCGCAAGGAAACAGCAGGCGTGTAGCGAGGGGAGGGGCAGGACCGCAGGAGTTGACAGCGGTCAACGCCGGTGACGTCAGACGTCCCCGGCGCGGCCGGGGGAGGTTTAAATGGCACGACGGAGGAGCTGGGGGGGGGAGGGAAGAGAACAGGGAGGAGCAAGGGAGGAGAGGAGAGGAGCATAAGAGAATCTGGGACGGACGAAGGCAGGGAGGAAGTAGCCCAGGGCAGGGCAAGGAGCCGGCACACTGGTGGGTTTAGGGTCTTCACCCCTCTGGTGGGACAGGTCCGTGCAACTCCGTCCTTAGGGCTCTGGGCTGGGGTCCGAGAGAGAGGGTGGGCCCGGACCCCCCTCCCCGCACTTCCATGGCTGTAAGCGCACCAACATGGAGAAAGGGGACTGAGACTGGGGATAAAAAGGGGAGAAAAGGGGGGGAGGCGGAACGCACCCCCACACGGATACACAAAGACACCTTAGCATTGTACTGGTGAGATTTGCTTCCCAGGGCTTTCTCTGTTGCATGCAAAATGCTTGTTGCTACCTGAGGATGACTGCAAGAATGCTGGGCTATTGTAGCAAGAGGTTCATCCTTTATGCTTATAGTGTGTAAGTAGTAATTATAGTACCAGCCATATATTTGAGTTCTCACAGTTTACTTGCGAGACAAGTTTCTGGGACTACAAAATAACAATTGAATTTTTGTCAGGCACAACTTCCTCATCCTCTAACTTTACGTTGCCTTACATAAATCTAAAAGGCCTTTTAATTTGTGTCAATCCTGTAAAATAGGTCACACAAGATTGTTTCTCCTTTGATGATGGGAATGACATAATTATTGGTTGCCATTATCACTGCAAAGGAACTAGCTAGAAAGCAAAACACATCAACTACAAAATAAATGTCAGATAGATGGAATTAGTGAGGCTTCAGCAGACAAGAATTACAGATCTGTTTAAAAATCCTTAAGTTCAAAGGTGTCAAAGGATCAGGGAAGTAGGGGAAGAGTACTAGTCTGCAAGTAATGGTATTTGTAACATTCAGGTCTGGATCTGTGTTTGGATTTTAAATATTTCAGAGGTGTTTATAGCTGAGTCTTGGGTTTGAATCCATTGTCATGATTTTGTGTGGAATAAAAATCCTTATATAATCAAATTCATTGCTTTAATTGAAGACCAGAGAACCATGTTGGTGCCCATCCTTTCTCATAGCTTTGTACAGCAGCTGGTTGCACCTGCCATTCCTGTATGATGTGGCAGAGTGTGAATTTCTATTTCAGGCCAGACAGCTCTAAGCAGTAGGTTTGGAGGTCTGTGGGCAAAAGTCTCCTTGGAGCTCGCATAGGGGTTGACTGGCACCTAAATGGCATGAGTGAACCCACAGTGATCTTAGGCAAGTTGCTTATGCTGGGCTTCTGCAAGATACTGATATCCTCTGTATTCTGTATATCCATTTTGAGGAAAAATAGGCAGGGTACAGAGTTAGCGTTCTGAATATCAGTGCTACTTCACCCTTACACCATTATAATGGTTTATGTATTCAGGCCTCTCCCTTACTTATCTCTAAAATAACTTCACTAACACTTACCTCCCAGGACATTCTAAAGCTTAGGTAATGTTTGTGAAGAGCTTTGGGGCTCCTTGGATAAAAGGCACTATGGAAATACAAATTACTAGTAGTACAGTGTTCTCTGCTTAGTGGCTTGCCCTTTACTCTTCCCTCAGGACAGACTAACTCTCAGGAAGTCAGTTTAGTTTAATGATTGTGATTGGTAAGAACTTCTTGTGTAATCTTTACAGAAATAGTAATATTCTGCTCAACGGGTGCATTTGAGCAGCTAAGTGGTATTTCCCTGGGTGTTAAATAAGTGTGCAGTTTTAAGCTCTGGACTTTTAATATAGAATTTGCAAAATAATCATAATGGGCTCGTCTACACTGGCCCCTTTTCCGAAAGGGGCATGTTAATTTCACAGGTCGTAATAGGGAAATCCGCGGGGGATTGAAATATCCCCCGCGGCATTTAAATAAAAATGTCCGCCGCTTTTTTCCGGCTTTTAGAAAAGCCGGAAAAGAGCGTCTACACTGGCCCCGATCCTCCGGAAAAAAGCCCTTTTCCGGAGGATCTTATTCCTACTTCAAAGTATAAGATCCTCCGGAAAAGGGCTTTTTTTCCGGAGGATCGGGGCCAGTGTAGACGCTCTTTTCCGGCTTTTCTAAAAGCCGGAAAAAAGCGGCGGACATTTTTATTTAAATGCCGCGGGGGATATTTAAATCCCCCGTGGATTTCCCTATTACGACCTGTGAAATTAACATGCCCCTTTCGGAAAAGGGGCCAGTGTAGATGTAGCCATTCAGAATAAAATCCAACCTTTGCAGCCCAAGACTAATGTGTTACTTAAATCCTACCTCTGCTCTCAAAACAGGAGATCAGATAACTTTAGTGGTGCATAGCTTTCTTTTTGGCTCTTGCTTTTTTGTTCCAGACAATATTTTATTCCACTTGTAAGTCTTTTCAGACTTTTGTTTAATAGCCTCTTATCTGAGTTTACACAATATTTAAGATGGCAAATTGTGCAACATTCATTCATGGAACACAGAATACAAATCTATATTAAAAGAACATTAATAACATTAGAAAGTCAAGCCTCCACAAATTAGAAAATCCTGGAATCAAGGTTGTCTATACATATGCATAGTAGCACTGTCTTTAATTACATGATCATATTCTAGTTTTTCTACAGGATCCTGTCTCATTCAGTGCAAACTATTCTTATTTGTATGCAAATTCATCAACAGTTTTGAATCAGCCAAAAGTAATTTTTAAAGCCAATAAACAATTCATCTGAACCGTTTTGCCCATCTCTAGTCATAAGCGGAATGGGAAAGGTTTGAGACAGAAGTTCAGTTATGAAACAGAAAGTGTGAAATACAAATTAACAGCAGGGGAAACACTATTCCTTAGAGTAAAAATGTTCCTTGTTCTGCATAGGAAGAAAATGATTCATATGCCTATGATAAATGACACAAAAAGACATGACCACAAGGAATAGAAAGGGAAAAATGAAGTGAAAGAAATTCAAAATAGAGACCCTATCTGGGAGATAGAGATAAGAACTCTAATAGAACTCACTGAATTCCACATATCTCCATATCCATGTTGTCCTGAACCAACTGGACTCTGTTACAGCCACTTACAATATTCTGCTGTGCCTTCAGCCAGAACTCTCTTACCTTCAGAGAGGACAAATGGTCCTACAGATTCCTACCTTGATTTCTACATCTCTCCACAATCTGATCCAGCATTCCAGTGTATAGGAACTGATTCCAAGCTGCCAAAAAAAAAAAAAAAAAAAGGGAACATTCTTTGGAGCTAATTCATGGGGCTTAGCAGTATTTGGACTTTAATTAGCATCACATAGAAGCCATGGGGTTAGAATCTGAGGCATGATCTTTCAGGTTACTGTAAGTGGGTAGATTTCTTCACAGATCAATTTGCACACATCTAAGTAAACAACGTGAGTCCTGCTGGGTAGCCTCTCTTTTTTGGAAGTGGAGTTTATAACAAAGTGTCCTCTTGATGCAGTGTTATCCTATTCTATGAATTTCTATTATTATTTAAGACTCATCAGGTCTCTCAATGAACATGGGGCTGGCCAATTTCCCCAAAGGAAGGTAGGGCTTCCAAAACTGTTAACTGTGTTTACAAAAAACTACATGATTCAGGTAGTAGGGACTGAAAAGGGCAACTATGGGGGTTGGTTCCCTCATCATTTGATTGTGTGGTTGACCTTATTAATAATTGCTTTATCATTCCATCTTCCTGTCCTTCTACACTTAGCTCACCCCTTAATTTTGAGCGAGAATGCCCATGGTCTGCAGCTGTTGAGAGGGAAATATTAACAAGAGACTAATAGAAAGATGGGGAGACATATCTGTCTCTAGCGATTAGGACCACAACTCTTAATATTTTTCTGTAGGACATATTTTATAACATTATGCTGGGAGTAACTCGGTGGTGCTGTTAATGGGGAAAGCAGCAAAAGGGTCAGCGGCCCCAGGGCCTGGTGATTTAAAAGGGCCCAATGCTCCTGGCCACTGTTGTTGTAGCTGTGGCAGTAGCTGAAGTCCCAGGCCTTTTAAATCACTCCCAGAGTTCCGAGCAATGCTGAAAGGCTATCTAGGGGCCCCAGTCCCACCCCAGTGGGACCAAGGCACTATCCCTTCTGGGGGCCTGCATTCCCCACCCTCTTGCCCAGGGGCCTGGAAATTCTGTTAGCAGCCCTGGTTGCACATAGGTGACATTTACAACTAGAGCTAAAGGTGTGATTCCCAACCTGCATCCTGAGGTTAACTCGATGCCGTGGCAGCATGGTCAGCAGAGAGTAGCAGCACAGGCTTGCTGCCTGGAAAATGCCCAGGCCTAAGCTGAACCCTGAGCAATTTAGGTTGCAGGCCCCCCTGTGGAATGGAGCCATGGCAGTTGCCCTACTTGCTATCACTGGTCTAGCATGGATGGTGCTGTCACTGACTTTTATATTCAGAAAACAATTGTGGTAGAGGGAACCTGGAGTTTTTATAGCATGTTGCGGGAGCCTCAGAGTAAAAAAAAAAGATTGAAAACCTTTGAGCCAGGGGCTACCTAATGGAATAGGATGATTTGACAATGACAAATACACTGGCTGTAAATAAAAGTATCTCTAGAGAATTCTATTAGATATTCTGTTTTGCTTAGCAAATTGCAATTCTATGTTCAGTTTGTTTGGGCAGAAAGATATAATGAAAGTGCTATGACCTCCCATGTTTGCCTGAGCAATAGAGTTCAGAAGCAGGCATAGTGTGTACATCTAACAAAATATAGAAGTTGCATCTTTATAAGTCATGCTTTGTATTTTGCTATTAAAAATAAACAAAAGATGCTTATTTCAACAAGTGGGAGAATACAAACGAACCAAAGAGTTTTGAATTCAGTGCTGTCTTGTTATACTGAGTATAAAAGGATAGTCTCACACTATAGCATAAGCAAAAAATCTGAATACATTTCATTTGTTTGTTTATTACTACTTTGTTTGATTTCATGCAGTCTTATAAGACTGCAAACATATGGTATTGCCAGAGTAGGTTTCTTTTTCTTTTTTTTTCCCTTTTGACCACAAATTATGCTGTTTATCATGGTTATGAAGCAACAGTTGGTGGACAAATATGACATTAAAAATAGACTCGGATTTCCTAATCACCAGGAGTGCTGGCTTGCAAGCCTATGCAGCAGTGTTGATTTGTGGGTATTTAATTTTCTTGGCCTTTGTTTTTCTACTGTGTGATGCTGTGAGGTTATTTCTAGGCAAAATGAAATATATAGTTATACATAGTACGAGAATTGTATAGTAGAAAATGTTCTTGGCACACATGCATAAATTAGGATGAGCGCATAACGTGCGTTTGAATGGAGTAGCTGTTTTTTGTTTATTTGTCCATTGGAAAGCCAAGAAGTATAGCACTATCCATTTTGAATTTAATGTGTACATTTTTATTAACACAGTGAAACAGCTCAGACATTTAAAGCATCTTTGAGCTGAAGAGAGAGGCAGCCATAGGGGAAGAGAATGACTCTGTAGACTGCTGGTTAGGGAACCACCTTGGGAGGTGGAAAATCCAGAGTCCAGTCCTCCTGTTACAATCACTCTAATTATGTACCCAAACTAGAACAGCGCCTGTGAGACAGACTAAGGGAGCCCCACATCCGAGCCAGAGTTCAGTGGCTAGAGCTCTCTCCTGAGTGGTGGGAGGAACTGTTCAAATTCTTTCTCCCCTTCAAACAGAGATCATTGAACTCTGGTTTCCCACATCTCAAGTGAGTGCTCTAACTACTTCATTCAGGGTGGCCATCATTGCAGGCCCCTGGACAGGGTGTGAGAGGGCTTGCTTTACACACCCCAGAAGAGACTGGGATGGAAGGGGCACTCCAGTGACAATTTAAACGGCCTGGGACTCCAGCCACTGCTGCTCCCTCTGAAGCAGTGGCAGCGTCCAGAGCCCCAGTCCCCTTTGAATTGCTTAACCATGGGGCAACTGGCCCTTTTTGCCCCCGTTGACATGCCTGACTCTGCTAAAAGTTATGAGATAGGCACAACTGCCACTTCTTCCAATGGCCAGATTTTGAATGGGACCTGATCCAGCTGGTGCCTTCTGAGCAGATTGGGCCCTGCACACAACTTAGTATCTGAACACCTATCTCTCCATTTTTCTGTGACTCTCTCTGGGGCTCAGGTGGGGAATTCATTGGCGTCCAGAAGCCTCGCAGGAGGCAGCAGTGAGATTGATTGGGAGGCACAACTGTGGACACTTCTGGAAATTTTATCCTTAAAAAATAAGGCTTCGGGTGAGTTTAGGCAAATACAGAGTTTAGTGGGAGTTTGTAAATTGCAGAGTAGTCTATAACTGACAGTAAGTACCTTTGTGAATCTGGGCGCTTCTGCCTGCAGGATGAAGATCCTCTAGTTAGCTTATAAGGCTTACTTCTACTTATGTTGAGTTCATGATTTCCAAGATTTAATAATCACTTAAACTGCACGTGGATAAAACCTTCACTGTCTTTTACCTTATGTTAGGCACAGGATGTCTTTAGCTCAGATCAGGAAGAATCAATATGGAGTAAGGACAGACTTTGTATCTTTTGGATTCAAGCCTCAGTATGGAAAAAAATAGTTAGTAGGTTATAGGTGCCTGATTACTTTTATTGCTGTGACAAAGACTGCAGAGTTCTGTCTGCCCCTGCTTAGGCTGTCTGGCGGGTTTTCCTTGGATGTAGGGAACAAAATAGTTTAAGCATACAGGTAAAACATGGAGATTAAAAAAACAACAAAGGGAAATGGAAGTGGAAAAAATAAGGGTGAAAATCACCCCTTACCATTAAATCAAGTATAAAGTTTAATGGCTAAAATGAATGCATAACAGGACGCCTAAGGATAATGTGGCCTATTAACATGCATACTGTGCACAAAGTGGTGTAATCCCATTCCTCCCAAAACAGTTCTTCAAAATTAGCTGTAATTTGTATGGTTCACATAAAATGTGACGTGAATAAGGTTAGGTGGGTAGTACTAGTCCACCCTAGAATTAAGGATGTTGCTTGACAAAATATCTATACTCTGATGTTAAATAAATATCTATGTATTTATGATAATAGGGCTCAGCTTGTGAAACGAAAGAGGGAAGAGAATGGAGAGGAATGAGGAGAAGTTTTTTTACTCTGAGCATGTGCAATACAAGAAAAAAAATTGAGAAATTTGAGAGATGACATGAGGGAAATAAAATAAAAGATTCAGGTAGGAAGGATGAAGTAAGTTATGCTTAACTACCATTTTTCTTCTCTTCTATACACCCCATTTTTCTCTCCCTCCTCTTTGTTTTGGCTTGTTCTGCATCTGCAGTCTGTCTCCAATCCACCCTTAAATGCTACCTTCTCTTTTCAGTCACCTTCCTTTTTTCTACCTTCCTTCCCCTCTCCTTTTCCTTATTCCTTTTTATTGTTCTCTGTGCCTCTTTATGGGCCCTCCTTGTTACAATATACGTCCCTTTTGCCTTAAATTATCTTTCCAGCCAACTGCATTATTGCTTAGCTGGTTAGGTTCTACTTTGTTTTGATGATGCCATCCCTCTCAGGAAAACTGTACTGATTAACACACTCTAATACAGCACAGTATTTAAGCACATGCTTAAAGCTATCCATGATCATCAAAGAAAAGCATGTGCTTAAATACAACTTAGATGTTAGATCCATACATCACTAAGTCCCAATGAAACTTTAATTTTCCCAGTTAAAGTGGAAAATTGATTTTGATGTCAAATAATTATGTCACATGAGGTCGTATGGGCTTCATACATTAATAGATTACAAAGGTCAGAAGGGACCATTGTCTTCATCATCTGGTCTGACTTCCTATATAACACAAGCCATAGACCTTTCCTCAAATAACTCCTATACTTTTCAGAAAAAAAATCAATCTTAATATAATGGCCAGTGATGGAGAAGCTCAGATGGTTAATTATACTCCCCCTTAAGAATGTACACCTGTTTCCAGTTTGAGTATGTCTAGCTTCAACTTCCAGCCATTGGTTTGGGTTGTACTTTTCTCTGTTTATGGGTACATCTGTATTGCAGGTACCTCTGGTCTCCCAGAAAAACTCCACCACATCCAGGGAATGTGTTTGCTATTCCACTTTTTTGTGGAAGTGCAAATGCGCTTTTTTGGAAGCCCTGTCTTCCTCATTCCGTGGAATGAGGTGTACCGGTAGTTCAAATTAGAAAGCCTAATTCGAACTACCTACTCTG